TCCATTATTTTCAATTTGTCCATCTCTTCTTTGTTCCTTCCTTTTTTTCCTTTATTCCTTCTGTTTTTAGTTATCAAACCATTCAAAATGTAGTGGCTTAAAACAACCCGTTGTTTCTTGAGTATGGAATTAGGGAGTGGCTCAGCTAGGTAGATCTGGCCTAAGGTCTCTCCTCTGGGTGTTGCAGTCAAATGGTGGCTGTCTGGGATCATCTTCTACACTCACAGGTCTGGGAGGACTCACAGCTGGGGTTCCTCCAGCAAATTTGTCCCATCTCTGTGGTCTCTCCAAAGTGGCAGCTTCAGGGCAGCCTTACAGCCTGGGCCCAAAGGCATGGCTGCAAAGAGAAAGATCCAGGAGGAAATTCTGGCACCCTTTCTAGCTTCAGAAGTCAGACAACACCACTTTTGCTGTATTTTATTAAATCTGCCCATATTCAAGGGGAGAGGAATATGTTTTTCTCTAGAAGTTTTTTAGGGTGAGATTTATCCTTCTTACCTCTTTCACACTTTCCATCTCCCCATCCTTTTGTTCTTCTCTGTTTGGGTGGGTTCAGTATATTGGTTCACTAACCTGCTTTTTTCAGCTATATCCATTTTTCTCTTCAGCCCATCTACTGAACTTTTTTTTGATGCTCATATTTTTATTTTCTAGGTTTCCAAAGTGTCTTTTACATAGATTTAATAACTTCACAGGTTTCTTTAAGGATATTACATTTATTTTATAGCATTTTATAGGCCCTCTTAACTCTGTTTTCTTTGGTTTTTGTTCTGTTTGTTGAATTTATTGCCTCTGTCAGGGTGTTTTCCTCAAATCTGTGATTAATTGTCTGCTCTTTTTGAGAATCCCTACTGGCCTCTTCTATTTACAGGAGCTTACCTTCTTTCATTTGGGAAGGGGTAGGAAGTGCTATTGGGCTGAGTATACCTGGTTTTAGAGTGTGAAGACTAATTTATAAACTTCATTTATAAGTACATTATGTCTGATCACTTTATCCCTATGTACATCCTCTCCCCAAAATACTAATCTTGAGAAGAATAAGAGGAAAAGGTATCAAGGAAGATATTCTCTCAGTGAGATAATGTGATTTTATGTTACAAAAACAGTTGATGTTGCACTATGATGTACTATGAGGAACGTTGTTCTTTATTTTAGAAACTTAAGTCTTACCATCATTTCCATATTTATTCACCACCATCCCCACCCATCCCCAACATGTTGTGGTCAGTTGTCACATTTAAAATATTCACAGCTTCTGTAAATATTTAAATATAACCAGCAGTATAACTGCTTGTTAAGCTTCAGTGTTCCTTAATGTAAAAAATTTTTTCTCCAAAATTTCTTGTCACAACTAAATTTCCTTTAATGAATTTTGTTTCATAGGTTCAGTTGTGCAGGAGAAACTATTTCATCTTTTAATTAGTTTAAATATTTAAAAACAGAAACAACAAAGTTGGGGTCTATTTGCATCACAAAGAAATCAAGTTGTTACTTTATGAAATTTAGAAGTAGTTTTGCTGAAGTTCGAAGAGTGAAAAAATGTTATAACTTAGACCATAGTGTTAGGGATTCAAGATTGACTTAAAATGTAAACATAGTGTAATGTTTATTCTTGTCCTCCTTATTTGTCAGGGAATCTTAACCAGAGTGAGAAATTTTCTGGTGCTGTGTTGGGAGTGCACGGCACAAGAGATTTCCATAAAAAGGCATGGGATTTGCTTGGAAGAACATAGTAGTTTTCTAACTTGGCAGTAATGAGTTAGAACTAACCCCCTTTAAAAAGAAAATATTAATCTACATTATTCCTCATTGGGTATTTGTATGTGTTTTCTTATCTGAGCTATATTATTCTTGTATCTGCATTTGTGCATATGTATATACATCTATAATCCGTGGTACTTGTTAGGTGTAAAGAAAATAATTTTCTATGCATACAGTATGTATGAAAAATGATTTTGGAAGTCGACTCTCTTACCCCTCGAGTTGAGTAACAGGGGACAAATATCTTGTTCTTACAGGGTACCCAAAATAATTTGGCAATCTCTGAGTGCTTTTCCCCAAATTCTATTGCCCTAGGAGGCAATTTGGGGAGCATAAATAAGCCTTACTATATTAGGATTCCCTCTCGAAAGGTACACATTTTTGGATGAGAGAGGTGATGAATTCATATCTTGTTAAAATGACAGCAATCCTCAGACTAAGAATCACTGGGGGCCTCGAAAGGGGGTTAAGGATATGGGGATCTGTCTGGTTGAAAGAACCTTGAACGTTATACTTCCAGTTCCCTTCCCTTTCTTGTGCTATTATTGTGATATATTTTACTTCTATGTATGTTGTAAACCCTGTGGTACATTGTTATTTTTGCTTTAAGAGGCCAAAAAAGTCTTGTAGATTTACTCTCACCATTTCTGGTACTTTTTATTTCTTTAGTAATGTCATTTCTTTTTCTTTTTTTAAATTAATTAATTATTTATTTATTTTTGGCTGCATTGGGTGTTTGTTGCTGCGCACGGGCTTTCTCTAGTTGTGGCATGCGGGGGCTACTCTTTGTTGTATACTGACTTCTCATTGTGGTGGCTTCTCTTGTGTGGAGCACAGGCTCTAGGCACGCGGGCTTCAGTAGTTGTGGCACACAGGCTCAGTAGTTGTGGTGCACGGGCTTAGTTGCTCCGCGGCATGTGGGGTCTTCCCGGACCAGAGCTCGAACCCATGTCCCCTGCATAGGCAGGTGGATTCTTAACCGCTGTGCCACCAGGGAAGCCCCAATTGTCATTTCTTTATGTAGATCCACATTTCCATCTGTTATCATTTTCTTCCACCTGAAGAATTTTTTTTGCTTTTTTTTAAGTGCAGGTTGGTGAACTTATTTCTTCTCCCAGCTTTTCTTTCTTTTTTTGGATCTGAAAAAAAAAATTATTTCACTTTCATTTTTGAAGGATACATTCATTGTATTTAGCATTCTAGGTTGACCATATTTTTCTTTAAGCATTTGGAAGATGTATTTTCTTCTGTCTTGCATAGCTTCTCGAGAAAGTCTATATATTTTCTTAACTTTGTTCCTCTGTGGCTAAACTTTTTCCTTTAGCTTCTTGTAAGATTTTCTCTCTTTGACAGTTTTTCAGGAATTTGATTATTGTGCCTTGTGCTTTTCTTTGTATTTATACTAAGGAGAGGGCTCATTGAGTTTCTTGGATCTGTGGATTTATAGTTTTTATCAAATTTTGAAAGTATTTTATTATTCAACCCCACCCCCACCCCATTCCAGTTACACACATATACTTGATAGCTGTGGTTTTCCTCTTTCTTCTTTTATTTTTCTTCTTCCTTTTCTTTTCTCTCTCCCTCTCCTTCCATCTCCCCACTCTTTACCCTCCTCATCAACTTTTTTCTATCTTCATCTCGTTCCTCTGAAATTTCCTTCTGCAGTATTTAATATAATGTTAATCCCATCTGGTTATATTTCCATTTCAGATACTGTTATTGAACACTAGAAGTTCATTTTGGTTCTTTTATGTCTACCGTTTCTCTCCTCATTTTCATTAAATCCTTGAGCATATTTATCATAGCAGTTTTAGAGTCCTCATTGGCTAATTCCATTATCTCACTTCTGGGTCTGTTTCAGTTGACTCATTCCACCCTAGTTTCAGGTCATATTTTCTTTCTTTCTTATGTGTCTATTAATTTTTATTGGATGCTGTGGACATTGAAAATTTTATATTGTTGAATGGTGGAATTTTTTTTTCTTTAAAAAAATCTTGGACTTGTTCTGACAGGCAGTTGTTATCTATGGATTGACTCAATCCTTTTGAGGCTTATTTTTAGGCCTTTTTAGGAAGTATGTAGAGTATTTTTTACTCTAGGGTTTGTTTACTCCTGTACTAAGTATGAATATTCTGGGGTTTCAAGTGAATTGCCTATTTTTCAACAAAGAAGACTCTTCTGGTCAGAATGTCAATATTTCCCAGCACTCTGGGAATTGCTCAGCTTACAGATTCCTATTTATTCTTTGCCTTACCTCATGGAGTTTCATCCTGCATGCCTGGCTTAGTGTTTGGCCGCAGACTCAGGTGGACCCCTGTGCAGATTTCTGGAGTTTTCTGTGCATAACTCCCACTTCTCTGGTAACTTCTCTGCTTGAGTTTTTTCTCCCTGCATCACAATCTGAAAAGTACCTCTAGGCAGAAAGCCAGGGCAGGTGTAGGTCTCACTTCATTTCCTTCCCACCTCTCAGAGATCACAGTGCTATACTGCTTATTGTCCAACCATGTCTTGCAAACAGTTGTTTCATATATTTTGTTTGGTGTTTTAGCTGTTTATTGTGGGATGGAAAGTTCATTCCTATTTACACCATCATGGTCATTGGAAATTCTTTTGTATCTTTTTAAGATAATCATGGAGATAAAAAATAAAGTTTATATTTATTCCCCCCCCCCGTCCCAGCAATTTGGGCCTTATGAAATAAACCAGCAGTACCTACCTACAGAGTTTCAAAAATTTCATCTACATTTTCCCATTTGTATCATAATAATATTTGAGGTAACAGTTTATGTGGTTCACCAATAATACAATAATGAACAAAACAGTATAGAATTACATATGCTATTTTAAGCAAATAAAATAGCATTTTCATTATATTCAGGCTCATGAGTGAACTTTTCAAAAAAGTATGTAAGTTTAAGTGATAGCTTCGTAAAGAGTTGGGCTCGTGATTGTAGCTATAACTACTAGTTTTAATCATCTTATTTTCTGACCAAATACGAAGTAACATGAACAGGCTAATGATTGATGACTAGTCAAAGATAATCTGTAATGAACTAAAATGCCTGGCAGTGGTCCTATAAATTTATATTAAAATATTCATGGTTTTGTTGTATAGCCTCTGTCTTCCTCTTGATAGTTTTAAGGGAAAAAACAAAATGTCATGTTATTTCATGTAACAGTTGTACATTCTTAGGCTATTCTTAGCATGTTTATTAATCTTTGATTTTTTTTCCCCCCAGATTGTCAGTATTTAAAAAGACCACATCATGCGTGAGTACAAGCTAGTGGTCCTTGGTTCAGGAGGCGTGGGGAAGTCTGCTCTGGTAAGTTAGCCACCTAACTATAATTAATTAATATAATACAAGAAGAACGGTGATATTTTCTTGCTTTACAACTTCTAGTCGCTCAAGAGAAAAGGTGGCAGTATGTTTTATATGCCTAATATCTGGCCTACCAGGGTACAAGGACTCATTCAGTAACCATGGATGTGTAGTTTTATAATGGTGACTCATTCATTCTTTCATTTATCAAATATTTATTGGCTACCTATTTTATGTTAAGCACTAGTGTTTGTGATTCAAAGAGGAATAAAAATTGTTTTCATTGTTAAGGAACTTACATTCTAGTGTGGGAGACTGATTATTACAAGTACCAGTGGAGTAAATCCTACCCTACCCCCATCCCAGACTTAAGTGGAATAAAGGTCATTGTTTTGTACACATGCTGTATTTATTTAGGAAGTGTTCGTTGAGCTTCTATAACGTCAGACTCTAAAGTTACAACAGTGAACAAAAACAGTCACAGTCTCCCTCACAGAGCTTACATTATAGTGGAGGAGATGTAATAGATACACAATTAATCAAAGAACTACTTGATTATAATTGTGAGAGAGATACTTTGAAAGAAAAGTATATATTGTTAAGAGACCTCTATGACAAGGGAACCTAAATTAGCATTTGAACAACTGAGAAGGGTCACAGTTGCTGGGATAGGAGTGAACCGGGAAGAAAGTAGAGGGAAATGAGGTGAGAGATAAGCAGGGGCCAGATCATGACTTGAAGACCATGTAAGAACTTGGAATTTATTCCTAATGACAATGAGAAGCTGTTGAAGGTAGGGTTTTTGGAGGGTGGTGGTGGTGACAGAATTGGATATATGTTTTAAAGAGAGCACTTTGTTCTATCAAGAGTAATTTAGAAGACAGGCAGAGAAGATGTGGGAAAAAAGTTGGGAGTTAATGCAATACACCACATTGTTGTTTGTGGAAGCTTATATTAGCAGTGAAGAAGAGAAAAGTAGATGTTTTGAGAGTTAAATAGGAGGTAGAATTGACAATTAACTTAGTGCTAGATTGATATGGGGACTAGGAGAGAAGGAGCTGTCGAGGGTGGCTCCCAAATTTCACAGTCAAGCTACTGATTTTATGAATGGACCATTAAAGAAGTAGAAGGAAAGCACTGGAGAATGAGCAGATTTGAGAGTGAAAATCAAGAGTCATATCAAATGTCATGTGCTTGTGAGATGTTCAAGTAAATACATCAAATAAACATCACATCCTCAAGACAATAGCTTAAAAGAGAGACTTGTGGTATGATTTGGGTTGCCATGAATATATCTATGGTATTTATTTTATGGGAATTATGTTACTGTTAGGAGTGTAATTTAGTACCTCTGTGGTGAATGTTTGCGAGTATCTGTTATTTTATTATTTTTTTAGTTTTTAAAAATTTTTTACATCTTTATTAAAGTATAATTGCTTTACAATGGTGTGTCAGTTTCTGCTTTATAACAAAGTGAATCAGTTATACATATACATATGTCCCCATATCTTCTCCCTCTTGGTATCCGTTATTTTAAATGCATGTAACTTTCAATTCAGCAAGTCCCTTTCTGGAAATGTATCCCACACATAAGTTCACATATACAAAATGACATGGTCAAGGATGTCTATTACAACATTCTTTACAGTGGCAAGAGTTTGGAAACAACCTAAATGTCTACCAGTAGGGGCTAAATAAGTTTTTAATATGTATTTTGAGTAGAATCCTATAAACCATTAAAAAGAATGCAGCAGCTCTGTATATACTGATAATTAATGATATCTAAGCTGTATTACTTAGGAGGAAAAAGATACTAAGCAGTGTAGAGTACCATATGTGTTTTATAAGAAAGGAAGAATGAGGGGGGAGATATTATAAAAGAACAGAGGCTATTTTTGCAAGGTTCAATAAGCTGCAGATAACATATCAATTACTTCCTTGGGAGTGGAATTGGAAAAGATGGTAAATAGAATTAGTTACCATTACATATGTTTTTGTGTCTTTTGCATTTTGTCCTACGTCCATGAATTACCTTTTTAAAATAAATAAATTAATTTAAAATCCATAGGAATTAATGAGGTTGTCTAGGGAGAGACTAGAGAGAGAAGAGTACTCAGGACTGGGCTCTGAGTACCTCTCAACATTTAAAGAGTAGGTAGGATTGGAGGATCCAGCATAGAAGAATGTATCTTGTACTTGAATGTAAATAATGTACCTTTACTTGACTGCTCAGAAGTCATAGCATAGTAGCTGGATGTGATAAAAGCAGCTACAGTAAGGTGATGATGCCATAACCATCCTGGGGTGGGTTGAAGAGTAAATGAGAGCTGAGGAAATGGAACCACCATTATAGATAGCTGAGGAAGTTTACTATATTCAAATTAATCTATTTAATTCAAGCTAAAATAGTGTATAAAATATTCCTCTGGCTAATTGAAGTGTGAATGACCTCAGTCCACATTCTTACCCTTGCTTTTAGGCAGTGATGTACCAGACCCTGTTCTAAAGCTATCTAGGAAATATTTCACAACCATCTTCTGTACTTCTTTTCGTTTACTGAATGGTAAAATACCTAGTTTCCCATCTTTGCTTATAGAAATTTTAGAGATAAAAGTAGATAATCTGAAAAAGATGAGTAGGTAATGTTTTCCTATGCAAAGAGTAAGGCTTTGGAATCAGGAAGGCATATGTTTGAATCTCAGCTGGCAAATCAGAAAAATAACTACTTCTGGGGTGAATATGAAATTTGAATGTGATTATGCTCAATAAATTTTAATTCCCTCTTCTGTTTTCCCTCACAATTAGAAAGACTGTTCAAGACTTTTTAAAATTTACAACCTTTTGTCTCTCTCCTTTGAGGGTATGAGATAAAACTTGCTATAGATACATAGAGGTGTAATAGGAGTTTAAATACTGATAAATTTTCACGTTTTAGTAAATTAGAATCCATGTCCTTATTTGTATCCTGGTAGTATTTTAAAACTTAATATAGTAATTATTTAACAGTGTAATGTCAGCAGCAGCATTGATGACAGTTTTTAACATGACCACCTCCTTTCATAAGTGTACTCTTAATTATGAATGTATCCTTATATTGAAAAATAATGACACTTCACATTTGCATGTTTACACAGAGTTTTCATATAATTACATTTAACCTTTACCACTTTGCTAAGTTAAGTAACATTTAAGAGGGGCTGATTTTTCTTTTAAGTCCTTAACTTTTGTCTGCTTTTTTTAAATTTCTAGACAGTTCAATTTGTTCAGGGAATTTTTGTTGAAAAATATGACCCAACGATAGAAGATTCCTACAGAAAGGTAAAATATGAAACTTGTATACACATGCTTACAAGTAGTTTCTTATGACTTTAAAACTTGATCCATGGAATTGCTTTTTTGAAAATAGTTTTGAGAAATGATACAGATGTTCTGTATTTGTTTTTAAAAGTTTCACCAAGACAAAATACTTTTCGTGGAACACTGCTTATTAGCTATAGAGAGCTCCATGTTCTGTTACTGATCAGTAATCTGTTCTTTAATGTACACATTTTCCTGGTGGGAATTCTTTTAATGTAGAAAAATTGCATATAAATAGGTATATTTTTGATTACTCTTTTTGTGAACTAAAATTAAGAACACTTTATGCTTGAAGTTATACAGTAACTGAAAGTTATTTTTGTTTAGTTGTATAATAACTTAAAAAATATTTCTCCTTTAAACTGTAAAAAGTTAAAGAGTTGGATTCTGTAACACCAGAACACCAAGAGTAAAATTGCTAACTGTGGACTTTGCATGCTAATGGTGTGTTGATACAGGAAGGTTCATTGATTCTCACAAGTGTACCGCTCTGATGCAGGATGCTGATAGTGGGGGAGGCTAGCAGGGAGCAGGAAAAGGGTGTATGGGAACTCTGTACTTTCTGCTCAGTGTTGCTGTGAACCAAAAGCTGCTTTCTAAAAAATAAAGCTTATTTAAAAGGAAAAAAAATTTTAATAGTTGGTCTTGACAAAAAATACTATTTTATTTAACTATAAGACTAGCTAGAATTGTGGAGAATTTTCATGATTTTATTTCCCAAGTATGTTATGGGGGGGAAGAGACAGTGTTGTAAGAAAGCCTAGTAACCAACGATGTACCCCACTGCCCCCCAAAAAGATTAACTTGCCTTTCAACAAATAAGAAAGGGTTGCTTTGGTAGATGTTTTAGAATTTACCTTTAAATAGTGCTATAACTTTTGCTGAATTAAGTTCATCAAGCCTACTGGCAGAGCAGTTTCATTATCTGTAAATTGGAAACAAAATTGTGATATATATTGAGAAACTACAGACCTGACTCGTTGTTCATTGAACATGCCCATTCACAGATTGTGCAGGTTGTTATCATACTTGTCCCGTAAGTGGTAGATAGTGAGTTTGTAGATCCACCTGTGGTGCTCCTCATCAATTCCTGATCTGACAGAGAAGCAGAGTTTAAAATAGTCCTTAGGTTAATATGTTTATTTTTAGAAGACCATGTTGCATTACTGAAATTTCCCCCAAATAAGTTGCTGGTTAAAGCTTTAACTACAAACGGAGATCTGTACCTTGAATGCTGAAGCACTTTTCTTAATCCCTTCTTTATTAAACATTTTCCTCACAGCTAATAGTTGATACTTTCTTTAGGACAACCTTCTCTTCTATAAAGCCCTGGGAAAGTAGAATTCAGTATATGAAATTTCACCTTATACACACAGCTTTTCCAAAGAAGTACCTTTTTTTAAAGTCTTGAGAACTCTATAGGTTCAGTGTTATTGTGTTCCCTTTATCTCTTAAGAATTTCCTTTGTATTAAATTTGGGCATATTTTAGTAAAACTTTGACAACTTGAATCTGGTAAGTTGGCAAAGTTTTCTTTACCCCCCAGATATTGGCTGTTTTGAGCTGCTTTTGTGCTTTGTTTTGAAGATAATATAAATATACATACTTTATACATTTTTTTTCACTGTTAGAACTATACCTGTTTGTTGCAGCTTTTCCTTAAATTGCAGAATATGACCATTGGCTTCTAATAATAACAGCAATCATTACTCAGAGTTTATAGTGGTCAGAAAAATATCCAAACTCAGGATTAGCAGTCCTAGCTTCTGTATTATTAATAGAATGTGTTTGAGACCTCCTGTTCTTTACTGTAGTACCAACTTAGTCTCCACCAATACAGCAAACTGCTAGAGAAAGGCTTTGTAGTTGTTAATAGGGACTTTGAGTGAAGAGGTGGGAGGAAAACAGACTGACATTTTGATGTTACTTTTTCATCCCCCTCCACCCCCCACCCCCCTGCCCTGACCCTAACAGCAAGTTGAAGTAGACTGCCAACAGTGTATGCTCGAAATCCTGGATACAGCAGGAACAGTAAGGAAGTTTTCTCTTTTTTTTTGGCGGGGGTGGGGTGGGTGGACAGATTTTCATTTGTGAACAGTGTATGGTCACCTGAATGATTTCTGTGAGTAAAAGCATTTGTTCTGATTAAGAATGTTAAGTCTCTAAACGTAGGGCCTCCTAAATTTTCTTATGTGTGTGAAACTATCTATGATGTACTTAATGCCCACATATCACTATTAAATTGTATGTTGCGCTCACCTACAGAATCTGTGTGTTGAGTTTCTTTTCCCTGTATTGAGGTAAGGATTATGCTCTTAGTGCTTTAAACGAACAAACAAAAGGAAAGTATTTTAAATACAGAATTTTAGTTAAAATAGGTATTTCTCTGGGTTTAAATAAGACTAACTCTTGACACCATGGTCATTCATTTATTTAAAAAACTTTTTTTGCTTTTTATTAGCATTTTAACATCTCAAGGGACTGGTGACAGATACGTGTGTTCTGACAAAAATCTTTAGGATTATTTTGAGCCTCATTTTTCACATGCTTAAATGAGTATAATGACGTTTAGTACATTATAGGGTGCTTATAATGATCAAATGAGATAGTGATTATAAATCACTTGGCACAAAATGTCTTTTATATAGTATGAGCTCTGTGTATTTGCTTTTATTTTCATTGTCTTCATTTGTCCTCACCTTTTTAATTGTTTAATTAATGATGGTTTTATTCTGCCACAATTATACTACCACAAAAAATGCACACATTAAATGATTTTCTTTTCTTTTTTTTTCTCCATATACGTAGACTTTACCTATTAGGCAATTCCTAGCTTTAAAATGGATGGTATTCTTATTCTTTTTTTTTTTTTTTTTTTT